TAAGATGCTGAGCTCAGTTGACCTTAAAGAAGTCCACCCTAATGTACATATATTATTAAACTTGTATTATTTATTGTTATTTAATTTATATATAAATCTTTGCAGTTTGGACGTACGCAGGAAGAGAAGCAACCATCCAAAAAGCAACCATCGCCGATAGGAATCTAATCTCCTAGAGGATTCCATCTTTTGTGAGAAAAATATAAATTTAGGAATATAATAACCATTTAAGATCGTAAAAAATTAAAAATGCAAAAGGAATTTTATTATAAATAATCTTTTAGAATTGTGTACCGCACCCATACATTCATAATTACTTAATAATGATAAGACTATAAGTAATTTGTAATTATGTAATAATTATAATAATAAATAAAAAATGAATAAAATATAACGAAAGTGGATATATACATTTTTAATTTTTCTAAAAAAATTCCTTTTGGGATCAAGAGTGAAACATTCTTGAAATCGAGAACGCCTATTCTTGAAATCAAGAACGCCTATGCTTGAATCCAAGAATTTTTCTTCTTGAAACCAAGAATACGTTCTTTTTGGTAAGAGAGAAATTATTAAGCCCGAGAACGATTTACTCTTGGAACCAAGAACGCCTATTCTTGAAACCGAGAATGCCTATGCTTGAATCCAAGAATTTTTCATCTTGAATCCAAGAAGACTTATACTGAAATCAAGAATACTTATTTTCAAAAAAGTAGTCTCAAATCAAGAACACTCGTTCTTGATTTTAGTAAAACCGTTCTTGGCTCACTTTTGAGCACGGAAATACTGAAATCAAGAACGTTGAGAACGGTTTTTTTTCTCGGTGTATTGATTGATTTTTTTGTTGATGGTCTTGTTAGTTGACTTAAAGATGTATATTTAAGTATAAGTCATAAAAATAATTTAGGTTTTTAAGCGTGTATTTTTAACGAAGCCATTTATGCCATAATTTTTACATTTTATCTAACTTTTTCAACTTTGACGAAGTGTAGCTTCTAAACTAATGGAACTCAATGCAGAAAGTTGAAGGGCATTCTACTACCCGTAAAATGAGTCTTTTATGGTTGAAATCGCTTAGCCACAGCTCGAGTTAGAAATTAAGAAAGTGTCAAAAACGTTTTTTACACTTAAAAAAAAATGCAAAAGACACAAAGTCAATCGGATTACTACAACCGGCGATTCAGATTTTCAATGAGAGAATACGTTTTCCAAAATTCATAATTTTTGGCCACCTAAAAAAATTCTAAAAAAAAAATTTTTTCGGCCAAATCCTGATACACGTGTTTACTAATTTTCCGAATAGTACACGTAAAAAAAGTTTCAGGCAAATCAAAAATGTGACCCAAGAAAAGGTGTTCGGTTTGTAAAAGAACCGCCCATATGTTGGTATCCATACACCGAGAAAAAAAACCGTTCTCAACGTTCTTGATTTCAGTATTTCCGTGCTCAAAAGTAAGCCAAGAACGGTTTTACTACAATCAAGAACGAGTGTTCTTGATTTGAGACTACTTTTTTGAAAATAAGTATTCTTGATTTCAGTATAAGTCTTCTTGGATTCAAGAAGAAAAATTCTTGGATTCAAGCATAGGCGTTCTTGGTTTCAAGAATAGGCGTTCTTGGTTCCAAGAGTAAATCGTTCTCGGGCTTAAGAATTTCTCTCTTACCAAGAAGAACGTATTCTTGGTTTCAAGAAGAAAAATTCTTGGATTCAAGCATAGGCGTTCTTGATTTCAAGAATAGGCGTTCTCGATTTCAAGAATGTTTCACTCTTGATCCCAAAAGGAATTTTTTTAGAAAAATTAAAAATGTATATATCCACTTTCGTTATATTTTATTCATTTTTTATTTATTATTATAATTATTACATAATTACAAATTACTTATAGTCTTATCATTATTAAGTAATTATGAATGTATGGGTGCGGTACACAATTCTAAAAGATTATTTATAATAAAATTCCTTTTGCATTTTTAATTTTTTACGATCCTAAATGGTTATTATATTCCTAAATTTATATTTTTCTCACAAAAGATGGAATCCTCTAGGAGATTAGATTCCTATCGGCGATGGTTGCTTTTTGGATGGTTGCTTCTCTTCCTGCGTACGTCCAAACTGCAAAGATTTATAGATAAATTAAATAACAATAAATAATACAAGTTTAATTATATATGTACATACTTGCGTAATTCGCCAAGCGAACAGCTTCTCTCCTTGTCAATGAACTCCAGGCATTCATAATTCACTCCAGCGCCTAAAAATATAGTTAAAGTAATTTTTCATATTATTTTTTAAAACAGAACCTTTTAAAATTCAATAAAAGAAAATGCACACATGTACATAAAAACTTAGCACGTGCACATCTGCACACATGTGTATATGTATACATATGCATTCATAACCGTGTAAGTACATACATATTCTAAGAAATTCACTTCCACAAGCATCGACATAAGCACACATATGTATATATTAGCTTATTATCACTATTATTGTTATTATTTTACCACTAATGTTATTATTTAATACTTACGTTCGAGGAATGGCAGCGCATTCAAAAGATCTCGTTCTTCTAGAAGGTTTTTTAAACATATGTCGTCAGCGTCTATCATACTGGCTTCTCTACTTCACTTACTCCGCTTCACTGGCCGAAAAAAAAACGAGCATTTGACGAGAGCCGAAGTGAACTTCGGTAGCTTGCCGAAAAATTCCAGAGAGAATGTCTCTCTCATTTTTAATCTCTCTCATTTTTTTCATCTCTGAGTCGAAGTTGAGAACGATTTCAAGAATGCTTGGGGACGATTTCAATAGTGTTCATGCTTGATAAACGAAATCGAGAATGATGTATTCTCAAAAAGCCAGATCAAAAATGCTTTTATTCTTGATTTCAAGAACGTTTGTGCTAAAAAAAGTGAGAAGACAAAATACTGACATCAAGAAGATTCGTTCTTGGTTTTTTCGTTCTCAAGTTTTCTCAGTGTAGTCATTGGAGTTCTTAAGCAATCACGGTAATACTCTAGTGTACGGTCACCCCCAAAATTCGCGAAAAAATTCGACGGACCGCGAATTCTTAAGAATTTACATGAAGAAATATAGGCGCGGACTGCCATGGTTATCTTGCTATCGAATTTCAAAGTTACGTGTTTTGCTATAAAAATAAAGTAGCCTTTTCTATGATTTTGAGTGGTTTGCTATAAAAAACCTAAGGGCTTTTCATCCCTTGTCAAAATAATAGGCGTTCAGAAAAATTCGATTTGCATTGCGGTTAGGACTTTAAAATTCGTGCATTATTGGTGTAGCCTTTTCTTTAGACCGTGAAAAAGGTTAAAATATAATATTTAATAAGACCACAAAATAGGTAAACTGTAATGATCCTCGTTGGACCGCGATTTCTTCAGATCTGCCTTAAGAAGTTTTACATTGGTCCTCCATGGTCAATAAATTCTTAAGGAATCGCTGTCCACGGAGGATATTTAGTTCGCGGCTGTAGGGTCTGGCCCTTATCAAAACCATTAGACATTTTTGTCGAATTTTTCAGAAGGCCTTTTATTTTGACAACTTACGAAAATCCAATATGTTTTTTATAGCAAGTCGTAGAGAAGCCAACTGTATTTTTATAGCAAAACTTAACTTTGAAATTCGATTACAAGAGAACCATGGCAGTCCGCGCGTATATTTCTTCATGAAAGTTCTTAAGAATTCGCGGTCCGTCGAGGATAATTTTTTCGCGAATTTTGGGGGTGAGGACCGTAAGCTAGAGTATTACCGCAATCACTATCCACCGAGGATAGTTAATTCTTAAGATTCATTTTAAAATTGTATATGTTGGTCATCCGTGGTCGCTCAAGCTCTTAAGGAATCACGGTCCATTGAGGATATTTAATTCACGGTTGTGGGGTCTGGCTTGCTTTAAAAACAATTTCACATTTTTGTCGAGTTTTTTCGACCATATGTTTTTTATAGCGAAATGTCACAAAACACCTCAAAACCCTAGAAAATGCTACTTTGTTTTTATAGCAAAACACGCAACTTTGAAATGCAATTACAAGAGAACCATGCATTTCCGCAGATAATCTTCTGCCCGTAAATTCCTAAGAAATCGCGGCTCATCGAGGGTAATTTTTTCGCGATTTTTGGGGCACAGGCCCCTCTTCTAGACTATTACCTTAATCTTAAAACTGTTAAGGAAATGTTAAATGCGCATCTGTAACACTGGTCGACAAAAAAAAAGCCCAAGAATAAAAGCTACCAAACCTGAAAGGATTTTAGCTGTAGAATACTACCTCATACTTGGAAACTTTTCATCACGTCGAAGTTTTAAGAAATCCGTGGTCAAAGTTCCAAATTTTTGATTTTTAGGCACTTTTTGCGACTTAATAGTAAGAAAACCCTTCGTAGCCCAGAGCCACAATTTAGCGGAAAAGGTACTTGGAACCTTTAACTTCAAGATTGTCCAATCACAAAGTTGGGCGACCTCTACTTCTTTAGCTACAATGGATTTTACAGAAGTACTTTTTGTCACTTTTTTCATCTATAGTAGCCTGATATTTTTAATGTATTGTATGTGTATGGGTCTCAGTTCAACAAGGAAAATATCAGGGTACTATAGATATTAAAAAGTGACAAAAAGTACTTCTGTAAAATCCATTGTAGCTAAAGAAATAGAGGTCGCCCAGCTTTGTGATTGGACGTTCTTGAAGTTAAAGGTTCAAGGTAAAACTTCCGCTAAATTGTGGCTCTGGGCTACGAAAGATTTTCTTGCTATCAAGCCGCAAAAAGTGCCTAAAAATCGAAAATTTAGAACTTTGACCACGGATTTCTAAAAACGTCGACGTGATGGAAAGTTTCCAAGTATGAGGTAGTATTCTACAGCTAAAATTCTTTCAGGTTTTGTAGCGTTTATTCTTGGGCCAAGAAGAAGTCTTGATTTTGTCGACCTGTGTAATTTTCAAACTAAATCAAAAATCTATTTTTTTTATTCTTATTTTTTGTTGGTCATGAAAAGTTGGCCATCTATTAAGGTCTGCAAAGGAAGCTCATATGAATATGCTGCGAGTTTGGGGAGGGGGTGTTTACGAATCAGACTACTTCTACCAGCTAGCCGACAGTCTGGGTCTCCTAATTTGGCAAGATATGATGTTTGCGTGTGCCATGTACCCGGTTGGCGACAATTTCCTGTCAACGGTGCGTGAGGAGGTTCGCCAAAATGGCATACGGCTATCACACCATCCCAGTGTGGCAATTTTTGTAACCAACAATGAAAACGAAGCTGCCTTGGTGCAGAATTGGTACGGAACGCACTACGAAAAAGATCGCTTCGAGAGCGAGTACCGTGAACTCTACCTGGCCAACGTCATCCACGAGCTAAAGCTTGTCTCGCAAAGGTCTCGACCCCAGCCACTAGTCTCATCGCCTTCCAATGGTAAGGCCAGTGAACAGGACAACTACATTTCTAGCAACCCTCAGGATAATCACAATGGAGATGGTTAGTAGCACCAGTATTTAAAAGTGCAGCTTCAAAACTAATGACTTTCTTAGTGCATTTTTACGACTACACAAAGGACGGCTGGGACCCAGGCATTTATCCGCGACCTCGATTTGCTAGTGAGTATGGCTTTCAGAGCTTTCCAGGCGCATACGCCTGGCAGCGCAGCAAGGACGGCGACGACGACGTTCTTGCCCTGATCAGACACCGCCAGCACCATCCGCTGGGAAATGTTCCTGTAATCGCTTTGGTAGAGAGACACCTTCCGCTTCCCTTGCCAGAGGATGAGAACTACGTCAATGCACTGATATACTTCAGCCAGATCACTCAAGCCATGGCCACCAAGGTGGAAACGGAATTGTACCGCAGTCTACGCGACACCCCTCATAAAACCATGGGAGCCCTTTACTGGCAACTAAACGACGTATGGGTGGCGCCATCCTGGTCTGGCATTGATTTCTACGGCAACTGGAAGGTATAATTGCATAAAAACTGAAAAGACACCACATGAAATCAAGACCAATATTGATTTCTGACAGAGGTCGTCATTGCCATTAAGAGGGGGGTAGGCATCATTTAAATAACATCCACTAATTTTTATAGCCGATACTATCGGCTAATATATCGGTGGCAAAGCGATTGCTTGAACACTTTTAAAGCAAGAGAAAACGCTATAGTCGGGTGCCCCGACTATCAGATACCCGTTACTCAGCTAAAGGGAGTGCAAGGGAGATGAAGATATAATAATAAATAATAATTAATATATATTAATTTAAGCTTTATAAATTTACCTCGATGGATGCTATGTTTTTGAATTCGTTACAAATTCCCAAGTTAAACTGCGTATTCCAAAAAACCACTGAGATATACATATACAGTGTTTTCGACCCTATAAAGTATATATATTCTTGATCAGGGTCACTAGCCGAGTCGATATAGCCATGTCCGTCTGTCCGTCTGTATGAACGCCGAAATCTCGGAAACTACAAAAGCTAGAAGTTTGAGATTTCCCACATATATTCTTGAGCTTCCTACGCAGCGCAAGTTTATTTCAGCCGGCCGCCGCGCCCCCTCTAACGCACACAATCGCCCACTAACGATTTTAAAATGTGTCTGGCGCCCACACCTTTAAAGATTTCCGAGAAGTATAAATGCAAATTTGTTATTATATTTATACCTAACGAAATGTTGACGACATTTTTCGAATCGGACCATTCAGTTAAAAGTTATGCGCAATCAAAATTTTTAATATATCCATATCCCTCGCACTCCTTTTAGCTGAGTGACGGGCAATAGATAGTCGGGACACCAACCAACGACTATAGCGTTCTCTCTTGTTTTTCTATATTTTTAACATTTAGGGGGATTTGTTTTATTACTCCATTTTGACAATTTCCAAATCCAGCAGCGAATTGCCCTAAATTTTTTGGTTAAAATTTTGTAAATTCAATTCAACAATAGGTCGTGGGGTCGTGCGTTTGACCCTTGTGTGATTCAATTGATTTTATTTTATAAAAGTTTATAATAATCAAGCAGTTTTTCGTCCGCATGTTAAATTAAAGTAGTCTTTAAATCTTTTTTAGTATGGGAATATAAGTTTTTGTTGGCTTTACTTAAAATACAATTAGACCTCAAGAAAATAGAAAATGTACACTGTGCAGGGTCTAACCCGAAAGGCCGTGGGTTCGATTCCTCGCAGTGATCAAAAGTAAGTTATTTTTTCTCCTCATGTTAATTTCCCTAATTCGTTTGCAGATATGATTTTTCAGTTTTAATGGCCCCATTAATGTAGCTCCCCCATATGATTACGCATAACAAGTGTATTAAATACAATGAAACTGTGACCGTGAGTGCGTTCAAAGAGAGAAAAGAGTGTAAATCCAGTTCCCAGAAAATTCACGATTAGGACAACCCGCCCAAAATATATCTAAGCAAGCCCAAATTCAATTTTGATTAAAATAATAAAAAAAAAAATCGCCTCTACTAAATTCACTTTACATTTAGGGTATATCATCAAAAAAACAAGAGAGAACGCTATAGTCGGGTGCCCCGACTAATAGTTACCCGTTACTCAGCTAAAGGGAGTGCGAAGGAGATAGAGATAAAAACTTTGATCCGCCGTAACTTTTTAACGAATGGTCCGATTTAAAAAATTTCTTCTAAATTTCGATAGGTATTTATAAACACCATAAAACTGCATTTTTACTTTTCCGAAATATTGAAATTTTTAAAATCGTATATAAGCGATTGTGGGAGGGAGCGTGGCACCCTTTTGAAACAAACTTGCGCTGCGTAGGAACTCCTAGAATCTGCATGCAAAATGTCGATGTTCTAGCTTTTATAGTTTCCGAGATCTCAGCGTTTATACGGACAGACAGACAGACGGACAGACGGACATGGCTATATCGACTCGGCTAGTGACACTATATATACTTAATAGGGTCGGAAATGCTTCCTTCTAGCTGTTACATACTTTTGCACGAATGCAATATACCCTTTTACTCTACGAGTAACGGGTATAACAAAAGAGAACACTATAGTCGGGTTGGTGTCCCGACTATCTAATACCCGTTATTCACCTAAAGGGAGTGCGAGGGAGATAGATATACTAAATTTTTTTGATTGCGCATAACTTTTAAATGAATGTTCCGATTTAAAAAATGTCTTCTACATTTCGATAGGTATAAAAATACACAACAAAATTGCATTCATACTTCTCGGAAATCTTTAAAGGTGTGTGGGCAATTGTGGGTCTTTGAGGGGGCTTAACGCTCGGCCGACATAAACTTGTGCTGCGTAGGAAGCCCAAGAATTCTTCTAGCTTCTAGCTTTTCCTTTTCCTAGTGACCCTGATCAAGAATATATACACTTTATGGCGTCGGAAACGCTTCTTTCTAGCTGTTACATACTTTTGCACGAATACAATATGTAGCCTTTTACTCTAAGAGTAACGGGTATAATTACGCGCTTCGATCAAATGCTGAAAATATTTGTCTGCTTCGTAAATGGCAAATAATTCCCTGTCATATGTACTGTAGTTATACCCGTTACTCGTAGAGTAACTCGTGAAAAAGAAGGAAGCGTTTTCGACCCTATAAAGGTTTAAGTAAAAACACCTCCTAAAGAGGTAAAAAACTAGTGACGATCGCACCTTCAACGTACAAAAGTTCTGATATCAACTTTTGTGACGAAAAATGATTTTAGATGCGACTAAATAAGTACGCTACCTAAAATTTACTCGTTCGGCCCGCTTTAGCAAATATTTAATATCTACACGAAAGTTTTCTGTTGTAGCGTGCCGAATGAATAAATTTTAGGTAGCGTACTTATTTAGTATATTTATTATATTTAAATTTAAATTGATCATAAATCATAATTTTTAAACTATTGTATTTTAACAAATTAATTTAAAAAGGCGTTGAAGTATTTCAAAATACCTTTTAAACGAGGTATAGCACATGTCTGTACCTTTAGTAGTGTAGAACTTACAAACTAACGAAATGTAGCTATTTTTAGCTTTTTCCCGCTAAAGTAGCGGCGTTTTTCAAAAGTCGTAGAACAAAAGATTCCTATATGGAACTCTTAAGTGCAAATTAAGAGATTCCATGACCCTAAAATACAGTTCGGATACCCTCACACAAAATTCAATACTCAGGGAGCGTTAGTAGTTCGAGCTGGCAAAAGTGGCTATTTTCGTATAAAAATAACTTTTAAACGTAACTTTTTACAGTAAGGTGTTATATACCAAAATTTAAGGAATATCAAGGGCTATACAGGTTAAAGTTTTAAAGAAAATCGTTAGAGCCGTTTTTGAGAAAAATAAAAAAAGTCAAAAAAAAAAGTTTTAAAAAATTGTCTTTTGTTCATATCTTTTTAAGTATTACATTTACACAAATTGCATATAAAAGGCGTTTATAGCATTTAAAAATACCTTTCAAACGAGATGCAGCACAAGTCTGTAGCTTTAGTAGTATAGAAGTTACGGTATTCCGAATTTTAGCTATTTATAGCTGTTTTTCCGCTAAACTAGCGAGTTTTTCCAAAAGTGGTAGAACAAAAGTTTTTTACGTCAAACTGACAAACAGAATTAAATTTTCATTTTGGGAAGACGTAGAAAATCTTATTTTGGCTATAACTTTTGAACGGAGCGTCGGATTTTATTATATGACCCCTCATTCGACGGGTATTTTCAATAGGAACACAACTAACCTTCTGTCTGTCTGTCCGTTTGTCTGTCTGTCCGTCCATATGAACGCTAAGATCTCGGAAACGACAAAAGCTAGAAAGTTGGGATTACCCACACATATTCTATGGCTTCCTACGCAGCGCAAGTTTATTTCAGCCGAGCGCTACTCCCCCTCTTACGCTCACAAACGCCCACAACCGATTTAAAAATGTGTCTAGCGCCCCCATTTGTAAAAATTTCGGACAAGTATAAGGCAATTTTGGTGCGTTTATTTATACCTATCGAAATGTAGAAGACATTTTTTAAATCGGACCATTCGTTAAAAATTTATGCCCGATCAATGTTTTAGATCTTCATTTCCCTCACACTCCCTCTAGCTGAGTAACGGGTATCTGATAGTCTGGGCACCCGACTTGTTTTTTTTTTTGTCTTTAACTCAAAATTATCATATTATCATATTATATATGCATCCCCACCACAGATGCTTCATTACTGGGCTCGCGAGTTTCTAGCGCCAATTGCAATCGTAGCCCTCTACGAAAGGTCCACGGACTCGCTAAACATTTCGCTGGTCTGCGATCTACTGGAGGTGGACACGCAGGAACTGAATGTCGTGGCTAACGTTCACCTGTGGTCCCAGCTGCTCCCACGCCAATCAACTACTTGGGAGGTTACCCTGCGCCCCAATGGTGTGCAGTACGACAAAGTCATTCCGCTTTCCGACTTGCTTAAAGGCCAGTTCACTAAAACCAACGCATTTCTTGAGTTTCATCTTCGTCGCGGCCATGAAGTGATATCCAGGACCCACTTCTTCCCGTGCAGCATTGCCGGAGCCGTCGGGATCGAAGACCCTGGGCTAGAGGTAAGTAAGTTCTGCAGAAGTTACACATAAAGCATAACATCCGCCCCTCCAGTATGAAATCGTCTCCAAGACCTGTCTCAATACCACCGATGTCATACGCAATAGCGTCAGCATTAGCATCCAGGTCAAGCGTCCAGCCGTGTTTGTGTACCTGGAGTTGCTGAAGCCGTACCGCTACACATTGTCCGAGAACGGATTTATGCAGACCGCGCCGATGCACGTCGTCTATCTAACGTTTGACGCGCCTTCGTGTTTCCGTTTATTACTGCGCAAAACGGACATCCGCGTACTAACCGTCAACGACTTTATGAGATAGACGACTCCTCTTCCTTGACAAATTTTATTCAACTTTTATAAATAGCTTAACAATAAACAAATCAATAAATAGCATTATCCGTTGAGCACCAACACCCGTCATTCTGATCTAACCGGCACTTATCGGTCGAAGCTAGGTATCTGGGCCCTTGGCGGCGTATAACCCTCTGGATATGGCACCAACTGGTTGTTTAGGACGCGGGCGTTGCGCCAGGTCTTAACCTTGTCCTCAGCGCTGTCTGGTACGCGGACACCTTCAATCAGCGTCACGGCGGGGCCGTCGACAACGCTGTGGGTACTCTGGCCAATGGGGTTGTGGTGTGGGCTCACATGCCCTGGACGTCGTGTGTGGGTGGGAGTGGCGACTCCTGCACTTGCCGTGACCACTACGGAGTGCGGCATGTAGGTCACGTACTTGGACTTCTGCGGCAGGGTGTTGTAGTTGTGCTTGGTTATAAGATTTTGCGGCCGGTATCCCTGACTCGACCCGCTGTTGGTATAACTCCTAGTATCCCTGTACTCATGGACGTCGGAGGAAGCAAAGTCCATGTCCCTGGGGAAGCTAAACGCAGATCCCTGCGGCAATTGCTGCACCCGTGGAAGGATCTCCACCGAATCGCTTGAACCGAAAGGTTGCCACTGTCGGTCTGCCGCCAAAGAAAAGTTTTTGCGTGGGATTGGATGGGTCGGGAACTGGACAAAGGAGTTAGCCGGTTGCCAGGCCACGTCAGTGCCGAGCTGACGTCCCCTGCGGGAGTCCCTCGGCACGGCCTGGTACTCATCCGCCTTACTCCGCGCTTTGACCATCTGCAGCTGGATAAGTTTCGCCTGGCGCTGTTCCGCCTCCGCCTTTCGCTGTCGATAGGCGCCCATTTGCTGTGCCAGCTCACTCTGCTTCAGTAGTGCCGGGCTGTGTTCGAAGGTGAGCTGGCGACCTGTGGCCTTACCCATGGGCGGACTCAGGTGCCGCTTGACGTCCGCACTTCGCACGAAGAAGGAGCCAGCCGCATCCTCAGCGCGGGCTTTGCGGCTGTTCTTACCCACCAGGATCTCCACGTCCTCTCCCTTGCTGGACTTCACGTTTACTATCCGCACCTTCGAGGGGTCCAGGTTACGGCCAAAGCGAAGCTCCGTCCGAATCAGAGATGGCTTTCCGGTTACGCTCGGGCTGTGACCTTCGTTGAACTCCGTGGGGGATACACAGCCTGCCAAACAGGCCGTGACAACAATGAAAACACTCCATTCCAAGCAGCTTGTCAGTGCCATCATATGATAATTTTTTGTCGCTGTGGAATGGATGAAATTTGGAAATTAGTTATGATTAATTACTGCGTTACAAAATTAATGCTTTTTAACTTTACCTCAATGGATGCTATATTTTTGAATTCGTCACGAAGTTAATATACGATTTCCAAAAAGTTGCCCCACGCACAAAGACCTCAAAAATCGAAAAGTGCTGAGATTGGCCAACTTTCCGGGGTAAAGTATTCATAGTTTGTTTTGCTGTTAAAGATTTTTAAAAGTGACACTCTTCATCTTTTTTAAGGAAGAAATAATTTCATTGCGACAAGCCATAAGGAACGGAAACTTACTTCTTGAGGACTTTTACCAATTTTGCGTAGGGGAACTTTTTGGAAAACGCAGTTTAACTCGGGAATTCGTAACGAATTCAAAAATATAGCATCCATCGAGGTAAATTTTTGATGTAACATAGTGTTATGCAAGTTTAAAATATGATGCAAGTTTAATATATGATGGGGCTTGAACGACTTGAAATCTTGACGATTGTTAAAATTATTTAAATGAACACAATAAATACGCACTTATTCGACACATATTTTCCCGTGTAATCGAGTATTACTATAAAAGAGTAGATGTCGATTTGCATAATTTTCCCCCCAGCCCAAACCATAAGACCTAAAATTCTGGACAAATTGGGTCTGAATCGTGTGTTAGAGGAGGTGTGCACTAAGAAAGGACTTTTTCCAAAGGACTCCCAGGACTCTCGAAAACTGCGAAATTGCTTGATTAAAACATCACCCATTCCCTCAGCTTTCAACCAAACAAGTTGAAATTTTTTTTTAAAGCTTTGCTTGTGGAAATCTTTAAAACCGACTTCCGGTTGGAGCACTTATTTTTTGGTTTAAAGTATGGAGCTATGCTATACAATCAGTAAGTGTTTTTTTTTTTTTTTTTGGTCCCACGGTTGATTTTTTATGATTTTTTTTGTAAATTGTGGGGGTTGCGGGGGCCTTTTTGGCAGCACTTTGTTTTTGTTTTTTTCTACGCTCCGACAGTTCGCACCACTCACGAACGTCAGCAGAAGCAGAGCGAGAGAGTAGTAAGCAGAGAGAGAGTCATTTGAAGCGAAAGAGAGGCGGCCAATGTTTTTTTTCTGGTTTCGAAAATACCTGATCAAACTTTTACTATTTGGATACCAGAACGGATTATCTAATGGATGCAATTCTAAGTCAAAGTGTGTAGCCAACCCATAAAATAGACAAGGAATTTTTGTTTTGATTTAAAAAAATTTTGTATTGGTTTTCAAGGGGAGAGCAGGGAAAAACTTTTAGTCGTCACATTTGCATGTGAGAAACTCAATGACACACACACATCGATAAATAAGCATAAAATAACGGATCACCTAATGCATGCAATTCTAAATCAAATACTTCGCATAAATTTAAATTGTGTTAAAGACGAAGAAAATTGTTTGAAAATTTCGTCTCCAAAATTACACCCACAGTTTTCGCCCATAAAAAGTGGAGCTTTAGGTGCTTGGGTGAACTTCCGTTTAGCTCCAACCCCCGATTTCGTTCAAACTTTCAAAATCCACGTTATTTGGGGTCCTGATTTTTGGAAAAATAGTCAAAGTTGGCGCAAATAACGGGATCATGGAAAATAACGGTAAAAACTGTTTTTCTTAAATATCTTCGAATATAATAACTTAATCAAAAAGCTACCTAGAAGAAATGAAAGCTATTAAATAAATGAGTATTTTATGTTTTATACATTTTTGCTGTAAAACTAATAGTTTTCGTGAAAAACGCTAAATAAGAATATTTTTTCACCATGTTTGAAAATAAAAAACCGTTGGAGCACACTTGCGTCATTTTGCCCGATATATCGCACGAAAGCTTCATGTTGTATCGGTGTGTCAAAATTTACATCGATGTCTCTCGATGTATTAGCGATGATACTACCTAAGCACGAGAATGGCATTACATTTTTTAGGAAGAGCATTTCAGTTCTCGTAGTTAAATATAACATTTAGAAAACAAAATAAAATACAAATTATACAACGGAAATAAAATGTATTAACAAAAAATACATATAAATCATTTATAAAGTAAGATACGCTTTCCTTGCCCGTATCTTACTACTTTCCTTAAAAGCTTATCCAGCTTTCATTCAGGTCATCCGTTCCATTTCCTTTTTTCGAGGAGCATGAACACGATACAACGTATAAATAGGCTAAATAGGTCCATCACTAGAGTAGAAGGTAAAATGCTGTTATCGACTAATCGAAAACTATCTGTCGCCATTTTGTGGCGGGATATTGCAGTATTTTAAAATGTTCACACCCAATTCAATATACTTCTTTTAGTTTTTCCTCGAAAACCTTTATGTTTACGAAGAAAATGATTAATACACAAAAGATCCGTTTTATAAATATCTTCTGTTTATGTCTAAAACATTTTTTGATTTTTCTTTTATTTTCCGAAAAAACTGCAAAAACCCGAAAATTTTACGATTTTTACCGTTATTGTTCAAGATCCCGTTATTTGCGCCAACTTTGGGTATTTTCCCCGTAATCAGGACCCAAAAACACGTCAATATGGAAAGTTTGAAAAAATTGGGGGTAGGAGCTAAACGGAAATTTATCCGATAGTTACGTAACTATTAAAATAGTTACGTGTATTTTATTTTGTTTTTGCTTTGGGTGTGTGTCTTTGCTAATTGTGTGTATTTTGTTGTTGTGGAATAACTATTTACTTAGTAGAATTGACAATTTTGCTGTTTGACAATTATTACAGTTGATTTTACCAAGTTATTTTTTTGTGTGCAGGTATTTGTGTGTTATTTTTTATATATTCTTTTTTATGTTTTTAAGGTTTTTGGGGGGTTAGATCTGATCGAAATAAACGGTAAACAAGAAAGGAAGCTAGCTTCGGCCAGCCGAAGCTTATATACCCTTGCAGATCATTCCTATTAATTAACAAATCGCAAAAATGTTCAATTTTCTAATATTTCTCATTAATTTTCCGATCGTTCCTATGATATAGTAGTCCGATTTTGATCAAATTAAAATTGAAATTCGGAAATATTTAAAAAGAGTCGTATCCTAGAGTAGAAGATAATACAATAAAAACCAAAGAAGCTAGAATTTATTTCCTATTACTTTTCCATTAATTTTCCGATCGTTCCTATGGCAGCTATATGATATAGTCGTCCGATTTTGATTAAATTAAAATTGAAATTCGGAAATATTTAAAAAGAGTCATATCCTAGACTAGAAGATAATACAATAAAAACCAAAGAAGCTTGAATTTATTTCCTATTACTTTTCCATTAATTTTCCGATCGTTCCTATGGCAGCTATATGATATAGTAGTCCGATTTTTTAAAAAATTTATTCGAAATTCAGAAATATTTAAAAAATAACATCCCCAAAAGTAGAAGGTAATATTTCAAAAAACACCGAAGCTAGAATTTTTTAAAGTTTTTTTTTTTCCGATTGTTCCTATGGGAGCTATAAGATATAGTTGTCCGATCCGGTCGGCTCCGACATATATACTACCTGCAATAGAAAGAAGACTTTTGCGAAAGTTTTGTCCCGATAGCTCAAAAACTGAAAGACTAGTTTGCGTAGAAACAGACAGACGGACAGACGGACAGACGGACAGACGGACGGACAGACGGACGGACAGACGGACAGACGGACAGACGGACATGGCTAGATCGACTCGTCTTGTGATGCTGATTAAGAATATATATACTTTATGGGGTCGGAAACGTCTCCTTCACTGCGTTGCAAACTTCTGACTGAAATCATAATACCCTCTGCAAGGGTATAAAAAGAGTAAGAATTCTTCTTTGCATTCGATTAGCTAACCAAAATAATATAATTAGGCTACCAGAACGGTGGAGTTAAGGTGGGAATAAGGTGAGGTTAGTGTGGGGTTAAGTTGCGTTTAAGGAGGTATTATATTGATTAGGGTAAAAGTATTGTAAGGGAAGGGTGAGGGTGAGAAAGTTCGTTTGAACTTTAGTGAGTATAAGGTGGGTCAAGGTGACAAAAAGTTTTACTAAGAACTCCCAGGACTCTCGAAAAATGCGAAATTGCTTGATTAAAACATCAACCATTCCCACAGCTGTTAACCAAACAAGATCCAATTTTTGGGGTCAATTTGCTCACAAATGAGTGCCAAAAGTATACCGCGTTTTCAAATCGAATTTGATACTAAATAGTGTCATTTTTGTGACACAAGGGTCACATTGATAACAATAATTGTCATGTATCGATTTCTGAAGCTCGAACTTCTATTTTCGAAGTTGGAAGTTGGAAGCAAGGGAGACGCAGCTATCGACCTGTCACTGTTAGTTCGAAAGTGAAGAAATTACGACGCGTTTTATGTAAAAGTTCTTTAAATAAGTGTTTACATTCTGTTTACATTACATTCTTAAAACGATAATTACACTAAGTGAAGTGTGCTAAAAATATGTACATGTGCAATTTAAATAAATCTTTTAGAAATAACGTGCAATAGGAAAATTATAATTACATATGTACATTGTACATACAAAACTACATTGTGGGCTGTCCATATATTACGTAATCAAGCTTTTTTTTATTTTGTATGAAGAATTGATTACATGGGGGGCGGGTCTAAAATCGCCGAAATTGTGATTACGTAATATATGGACAGCCCCTTGGTAAAACAAGACAATTTAAAAGGACATTAATAGTAATATAGTTATTATTTTTATACAATTCCTATTCTTGGATTAGTTAAATTGCCACAAATATGACTAGCACGTATGTATGTGTCGTGGATTGGTTAGACAATTCAAATTATAACGACTGTTAGCTTTGATTTCTCCTTTCGCTTCTCCTTCGTTTTCATGTGCTTCTGTGCTGTTTCTTCGGCTCTCCGAATGGAGGCAACTGATTCTGTTGTCAACGTTAGTCTGTGCACTGGTGTGAGCGAGATAGAAGGATGCAGGTGTCCGCATCTAAAATGAATAACGTTTCCGTTCGGACCACGAAGAGCAGCCTGAAGCG